GGTTTTTAAATCTATCTCTAAAAATAATAAATAGAAAATATGATATATGCTGGTTGATTTTTGTTTTCAAAAATAGATATAGATTTAACAATACAGAGACATATAATCTCTACTACTACTCTGTTCATGGTTTTTGGTGATTTGAATTGTTTTTTATTTTAAGAACCACAGATTGTTAATAATACCTTATGTAGATGAGGCATGATGTGATTATAGTATGTGGATAAGGCATGCAGTGATTGTAATATTTTTTTAAGTCATTAATTATAATACTTTTTTTTTCTTTTTTTTTTTTGAGGAAGTGCACAAGTTGAATTATGTTGAAATTTATAAAATTTTAAACTGCCAAACCGATTTGCATCCATCCACCAAACCGCCAATTCGCTCAATCCACATCTGCCGGATTGGCGGACGGATGGCGGATTGGAGGTTCCGTGGCCGCAACCGACCTGCGCCCACCCCTACTATTTGTAAAGAAATAATTGTATATTTACATTATAGACAAATATAAAAAATCAAATATATATATATATATATAATTCAACCTTTCATATAAAGATCCAACGGTTGAGATCAAACCCTATCTCTCCTTCCAAGACACACTACCCTCTCATTTCCAAACCCTTATTCTGATCACACCCCATCACTCTATCTCTCTTCTCTCTATATCTCTTCTTTTACAAAACCTATCTCTCTCTTTTACACCTCTCTTTCTGTCAATCTTCACCCCTCTCTTTCTCGCCGATCGCTTCTGATTACACCTCACCTTTCTCTTTCTCGTCGATCCATTCTGATTACACCTACCCCTCTGTCGCCAATCCATTCTGATTACACCTCATCTCTTTCTTTCTCTCACTCCTCTCTCTATCTGTCTTTCTTTCTCTTTTTCACTCCTACAATGGATCGGCGACGTTGGACAAAATCGAAGAGACGATTGTCGATTCTGAACCAAGGACTACCAGATCAGTTCATTTGCAGATCGATTTTGAACCAAGGACTACCAGACGATCGAAGAGACTCCTTTCTCTCTTACTCTCTTCCGACTCTCTCCATCTTCGGTTCTTTGTTCAGGTACCTTTTCATAACTTTTCTTGTTCACAACTTCAACTTATTCCAAATAATTTTCAGTTTAAAATTTTTTGAGACTTGTTGAATTTGTTTATGATTTTGTTGAGATTTGTTGAATTTAAGGTTTGAGATTTTGTTGAGATTTATTGATTATTGTTGACTGGTTCTGGAAAACAAAAAAAAAAAAAAAACTTTGCTAATTTTGGATAAATTAAAAAAAAAATTATTGAATTTTTTTTGTGGTGAATTCTGATAAAAAAATGGTGAAACAGTTGCCGAGAAGGAGGGAAACAGTTGGTTTTGGTTGAGTTGGCACAAATGGCAGCATTTGACACAAGTTTTAGCATTTCTCAAATTTGATAGCTGCCATATTCAACCATTGGAGCATCATTTTTCAACATAGTTGCTATATTATACCAATGGCAACTCCGATGGCAAACCATTGGAGATGCCCTTAGCCAAGCTAAATTAGGCAAAAAATCAAAGAGTCAAGCTAAAAAAATTCTTTCCAAATGAGCCCTAGCTAAAAGTTAAAAGTTAATAAACCATATAAAAAAAAGTTAAAAATTTTATTCTCTTTACCTTTTACACTTTTTTTTTTTACAATAATTTAAAAAGTCATCCTAGTTATACTATTTTTTTTCTTTTTGGAGCATTTACGCACAAGTCTTAATTTATGAACTTATACTCCATTAAGTCCTAATTAAGATTTTTTGAACCTTCAAGTGCCATTATGTCACGACCCAACCCCAGGGACTTAGGGTTGGAATCGCAACTTACTAAATAATTCTAATCGTAGCAAATTAAATGGCGTAGGCGGAAGCAAATGGAAATAAAAATAATTAAACAGAATATTTATTGCATTCTATTGTTTTGATAAAAAAAGGTACATCTGTAGGACTTTTATTATTTTATTATTCAATGACCGACTATAAGTAAAAAAAAACAAAAGGGAGAAAAGAAAAGAAAAAAAATAACGGATTAGCATCAAATTCTTGTACGAGTTCCACTACACGAGGTTACAGGTCTTCTTTACATCTCATCACCTGAAAGGATAACAACTATAAGCACACAACAGAGTGAGAAATATTATACCAAGAGTGTAGAGAATACAAAATAACCACGGATAATTAGTTAAGCTAAAACATTTACATAACTAAATTTGAATAAACAAATTATTTAAAGTGACAGAAACTGAAATACAGAAATTATAACCATAACCACCGTACAGAATAGAACAGAACAGAGGTCACAGGAGTGACAATCAGAATAGAGGTCAATGGATCCATGACAAACAGAGGACCACAAAGTGGCCAAACAGAGGTCAATGGTTATTTAAGTCTCCCAAGGCATGGGACTCCTGTGGTATTAATTGTTTACAAAATCATTATCAAATAATTTCTAAAATTTAAACAAACATATCCATGGATTTCATATAAGCAAATGGAATTCAAAAAATAATTAACGTAATTGAAATATAAATATAAGTTGTAAAACATAATTTGTATAAAATAAATTATGGTAATTCAAAATATACATAAAATATATTATGGTAACTCAAGGTATAATATAACTCACCTTAATATTAATCCTTACTATTTCTTCCTATTTTTTGCCAAGTACCTGGGACTGTTCCCTTGCTCCTCTCGCTTTTTCTCCTTTTTTTTTTTCTTCCCCCTTACAGATGTTCACAGCCCTTCCCCTTGTATATACACATGCCCCTGGTGATGACTCACCTTGTCATGAGCATCCGGATCCGCTAGAGTGATTCTGTGAAGTGATCTTCTAGAGTGTTTCTTTATGGTGCGACCCATTAATGGAATCAATGGCTGAGATGATCCTAGACAAAAAGACGTCGTTTTGGTAAGCCAGATCCAAAAAAAAAAAAAAATTTGTAGAGTTTGCACTACAGATCAAGAAGGAGGATGAGGAGAGAGAGCTGAGGAAGAAGAAAGAAGTCGTCGTAGCCCAACGTTGCCCCATCTCTCAAAGCCATCTCTCAAAATCTTTGCAAATCTTAAACCCATTTTCTTCTTCATCTCTCAAACCCATTTTCTTCCTATTCCCATTTTCTTTTCTCATGTGGGTATCTCTGCAAATCCACCCATTTTCTCCTTAAAGCTTCTTGAAGAATAGGTTCGATCTCTGCAAATCTTAAACACATCTCTCAAAACCATCTCTCAAAATCTCGGCAAATCTTAAACCCACTTTCTTCTTCATCTCTCAAATCTATTTTCTTTCTATTCCCATTTTCTTCTTCATCTCTCAAACCCATTTTCTTCCTATTCTCTACAAATCCACCCATTTTCTCCTTGAAGCTTCTTGAAGAATAGATTCGGGCAACGCGACTTCGGCAAAAAATTGTGGATCAAACTCTGTAAAAAAATTGCAGAGAAAATTTTTCCTTGGCTTTCTCTTTCTCCTCCTCCCTCTCGATGTGCAGTGCAAACTCAGCAAAAAATTATTTTTTTTTTTTTGGGTGTGGCTCACCAAAACGACATCGTTTTGGTGAGGGATCATCTCAGCCATTAATTCTATTAATGGGACACGTGCCGCGCCATAAAGAATCACTTTAGAGGATCACTCTAGAGGATCTGGACACTTGTCGCGATGCCTCAATTTGATGACTCATCCTCCCTTGAGCTGCTAAACGACACAAGTGGCCCAATCTACTTATCCAGCAAATCTTCTCAATTTAATTACCGTATCTTGCCCCAAGTAAATCTCTTCATCCTCTTGTTGATAAACTAATGCTAACTTAATTTACATCCTTAGCTCGTACAGCTATGTATTATTTTATATATCTATTTTATTATTATTATCTTATTTTATAGTAACATAGTATTAATCAAATATTTGGGGTGTCACATATTAAACTTTTAATAGTTAAAATTGTCCTTCAAACAATGATTGTTCATCATTTATGATTATTTATAAAGAAACATAATGATTTAATATTTATTTTAATTTTTTAAACTTTAAATTTGAAAAAACTAAAAAAAAAAATTATGTGCAAAAAAAGTAAAAAATAAAAGTGTGCTTAGCTTCAGTTTTTTTAAAATTGAGTTTTTTGTTTTTCGTATTTTTTTGTTTTTAGTGAATATTTTTAAAATTTTAAATAATTTTTTTATTTTTCTAGATGCACCTTACTTAGATGTATCTAAATAGTAAAATATTTATAAAAAAATATTTTTAAAAATTAATAAATATACAAAAATACGAAAAATGTAATAAATTTTCATTATTATTATTTATTTATTTTTATATTTTTGGTATTTAGTGAATTTTTTAAAGATTTCTTCCAAAAATATTTTTAACTATATTTATGTTAGGTGTGTCTAAATATAAAAAAAATTAATTAAAATATTGAAAAAATTCATTGAAAACAAAAAAAAAATGTAAAATTTTCTAAAGAGTATTTTTTGAAAACCCAAAACAAATTTTTTTTTTTTTGAAAAATTAAAAAAACTGAATTATTTTTTGTGCAAAATTGTAAATTTTATATCTATAAAGGAGTATGATAATGAAACATTGATGTGCAAAACTAAAAAACAAAAACTTAAAAAAAAAATGGATAATATTTTCAGTTTTAAAACAAAAAAAAAACTGATAATATTTTCAATTTTATTAGTTAGTTGAACCAAACCAATAAGTAAAAAGGTAAAAACGTTTAATAGCATGATCTATTTTTTTATCAGTTAGTGAAATAATTATCTGAAACATTATTATACAAAATTGATAATGTTATTAGTTTTAAAAATTAAAAAAATGATAAAATTATCAATTTTACTAAATAGGACTTATTAGTTTAAATTTTTTTAAATAATACCTGAATTACTATAACACTTATAAATAGAATTTTTAAGTAATTAATTTATTTTTTTTTAATCTCATATTTTAACTAGTAGCCTGTTCCCTTTATTTGAGAAAAGGGCAGGAAGGTTAATTCGACATCGTCTTGTTAGGAACTGTTTCATAAGCTTCTTGTAGAGAAGAGAGAGAGAGAGAGAAGCATGGAGGGACTCACAGATGAAGAAAGAAGGGCTCTTCGTGGTAGCAAATTCGCTCCTCTTCCTCCTTCTGCTTCCTCTCCTTCCCGATCCAAACCCAAACCCAGGTCTCACTTCTCTCTCTCTCTCTCTCTCTCTCTCTCAACTCTCTCTAATCAATTTAGTTTGTTAATTAATCATCATTGCAACTTATCAGACTAATCTGAATTCATTCCACAATCTCTGTCACTCTCTATTCATGGTTTTATGAGACTATTATTGTATTTTTGATGAATTTCATGAGAATTTTACTGGGTCTTGATTGAACTGAAAATTCAGACTTTACCCCCAATTAGATGGAATAGATTAAGCATATTGTTTCAATATCATGTGAGTTATTGTATGTTTTGGCATTGTATTTGATTAATTCTTATTTTTTCATCCCCTCCTCAAATTTGCAAGTACCCAACTCAGCTACTCTCTTATAAATCTTTAGTTTTTTTTATAAAAAAATCAATTTAGTTTATTAATCATCATTACAACCTCTCAGACTAATCTGAATTCATTCTGCAATCTCTTTCACTCCCTATTCATGGAATTATGAGACTATTATTGTATTTTCAAGGAATTTCATGAGAATTTTACTGAGTCTTGAACTGAAAATTCTGATTTTACCCAATTAGATTAGATGGAATAGATAAAGCATATTGTTTGAATATTGAAAAAATTAAAATCCCTTAGATATTGATTTGTGATTACGTTTCACTTTTAAATAACGAATAATAATCCCAATTAAATAATCAAAAACAAATCAACACACCGATTTAACGTGGAAAAATCACAATTGAAGTGCCTCCAATCGTGATAAAAAAAATTACGGGCCAAAGCCACAAAACAATCCACTAAGAAAATAAAAAGGAACTACACATGTGGATCCTCAATTACCTAGCGCATCCATACCCGAATTTAACCAACTCCAATATGCCTCTTCCACCACTGACTTCACCTCGGAATTCTCTTACCCAACGTTGAATCTACAACACGGATGTCGAATTCACGACGATCAGCCACTCCGGAATCTACCAAAATTTCAGGCCCAAATTCTCCAAAATCTATCGAAGAACAACTCTCTTTTGTGAATTAAAGAAAACACACAAACCCTACAGATCCATTGATCAGTCTTAAATCATCAAGAAAGCACTCTTAAAGCACCCTCCAATATAAAATACTTTGTTTTTTCTTCCTCTTTGAAAATCTGGACTGCTCAAACCCTAAAAATAACAAATTGCGCACTTTATAGAAAATTAGATCACGAAGATCGCTCGAGTGCACATTTCACCACTCAGGCGGTGTGAGTAAAGGCGGTGCAAAACATATAGGCTGATCGTTCGAGCGCAACATTCACCACTCCCAGAAATTCAGGCACTCTATAAAAGTACTGGGGAATTCTTTTCTCTGCTGGACCGCACAAATGACTACTCAAGCGGTCAAACAACTTCGACTGTATTTTTGCTTTTTGCTTTTTGCTTTTTGCTTCAGTGAAGTAGCAAAAATGGAAGGATCAAGATCACAAACTACTCTACATAGACACAACTCGGATTGGATTTGCAACTAAACACTCACATCCTCATTGAAATATAAGAGCAAATAAAATTATAAGTGAAAGGAGTTTTGTCGAACGGAATTGCCAATTACAAAAACCTAACAATCTCCCCATTTGACAATTCCGTGACAAAACACACCTAACAAATAAAATCCTAATCACCCCAACCCATAACAGCCAATCAAGATGCTAGTAGTGCTATCATCTGAAAAACAGCTATTACTGCCACAGTCTGCAAAACAACTAATATTGCCACAAGATTATATGAAAGTAATAGACATATGACAAGATTATCTTGCAACATGAATAGATGAAAATTTTAAGAACATGGAGACATACTAAAAACACTCCCTCTCAAAAAATATCATGTGGGTTATTGCATGTTTTCGCATTGTATTTTATTAATATTATCCTACTCAACTACTCTCTCATTGAAACCTCGTAGACTAATCTAAATTCATTCTATGACCCCTTTCACTAATTCATGACAAAGCCTAGAACTCTCTACCTTGAGTTATGAGACTATTATTGTATCTTAGGTGAATTTCATGAGAAGAGTGTTGAACTGAAAATTCAGACTTTGCCTCCAATTATATGGAATAGATCAAGCATATTGTTTGAATATCATGAGGGTTATTGTATGTTTTTGCATAATAATTATTTGATTAATATGGCACCACCCAATTCTTATTTTTTCATCCCCTCCTCAAATTTCCAAGTACCCAACTCAATAATCTAAATAAGAAGAAATTCCCTATTGAATTCTCCATTAATCTATAACTTGTATTATTTTATAAAAAAAAAAAATCACCTAAAATTTAAGCCTTTTGTTCACAATGTGGTGCTTTTTCTGTAGGTTACCTCACCCCGGTGGGCCATTGACAACAAACAAGGCTGCGGCTTTGGCAAAGTTCCTTGAAAGAAAACTCCAGGAGCCTAATGGATTGGCTTCTATAAAGCCCGAACTTGTTGAACTGGCTGTCAAAAATGCAAAGGATACTGTAAATGCTAGTAATTACCGATTACATCTTGTAGTTTTTTTTCCAATGGTGTTAAATTCCTTTATTCTCGAACTACGCTATGGACCTGGTTAAACCTAGTCAAGTTTGTGGAAACCCATTTTTTTCCTTATGTGCAATGGAGGTCAAATTCATGACTTATAAGCCTTATATACACAACCCAACTCATGACCTAATTTTTCTTTGAAGAGTCTTTCCTGTTGGATTATATGGTTCAAACTTAATGTAATAGTGATTTACTAAATCTCATTGATTTTGACTTTTGTTTCTTTTTTGTTCTTATCCATATTCAAGTAGTTGGTATTTTCAGAATTCAGATGAATATATTCAGAATAGTTAAAAGAAGATATTTGTAACCTTGTTTCTTGTTGGAGTTGGAATTCCAACAGCTAACGATAGTAAACATTAACGGATTTTTTCTGCAAATTTTGGTTTGTTTTATCCTGATAATACCTTACAAAAGTTTAGTGTTTTTATCCCATTTGACAAGGTTGTATTGTACTCGCATTCATTTGTATTTACAATTGGTACTATACCTAATTGGTTCTGTGTGGGCTTACTGGGCCAGTGTTCACTCCTAGACTATCAATCCATTGGGATGTGGTTGTATTTGTTGGTGGGGTGCTTGATCTCTTCCCTTCTTATCATTTGGTGTTTGTATAGAGGTTTGGCAGTGTGGCAACTGGTTCTCTCAGTACATTGTGTGTGGAAATAATGAGTATTCAATTTGATCAATTCTGGACAAAATCCTTGATATAGTATATATTACTAGAATGTATTCTCATAATTTCACTTGTTTTATACTTCATTTATTATGTTATGATGATGGTTGCCTTTCCTGCTTGTATGTGAATGATCTACTTGCATTTATGATATCTGGGATGTTGCAAATATCACTAAAGTATTTCTCATATTGCAGTAAGCAATAAAATCTAATGTTCTTTCTATGACAGGTGGGGCTTCACATTTAGGAAGAATAGTTCGACATGTAGACTCTTTTGGCGACTCTGAGGTGGTTTATCTTTGTGTTCCTGTAATCATTTTTGGAAAAGTTTCAATACACCTGTGTGTTTTTATGACCTATTTTTCTTCTTAATTGGTTGCAAATATGACAGGATTCTTTGGAAGATGGAGGTGAAAAAATTGAGTCAAAGAAACACAAGAAGAAGAAGAAGAAGAAAAAGAAAGATAAGGGGAAAAACAAAAAACAAAAGGTTTGTTGCCATTGACCATTTCATCCTAGTCAAATCAAAATTGTAAACCTTTGCTTAGTCTTTAATGTTTTTCTGTTGCAGTCATCAAAGGACACTGCAGATGCTGTAGTGAAATGGCCTAAAAAGAAGCTGAAATTGTGATGCAAATAGAATTTCGATTCCAACTGTTTGTCTAAGGACATATTGAAGGGTTTACAAACTAGGTTTATCAGAACATCTACTTTCGCTTTTGATTTTGTCAAATTGATTAGGTGGTTTCTGATTAGAACAGGCACTATTCCGATGAATTTTCATAGATTTTTTTTTTTACAATTAGTTTTTTCAATTTTGTTTTTTTTAGAATTTATTTGATGTCAATGATTCAAAGCCCTAATGATTAAATTCCTGAGTTGTGCAATTCAATCAATTCTTCTTATGCTTTTGAAAGTGAATTTGTACATTGAAACTTCTTGCAATGTTTTCATACGGTGTTTTGGTTGAGCCTGTTACCTCATTTCCATTGAATGATTGTTGTGTTGTATCAATTTTTTAAGGAATTTCATAACATTCTCTAATGTGTCGCAATAGAATATTTAATTGGTGATTAATATTTCAAACATCCGTTTGTTGTCTTGTTTAGGTCCTCACTCCCTACTAAACAACCAAATGTAGTTTTGACTGCTTGTAAGTTGTGTATACTCAAACTCATGGACCAGAATGATCCAGGCCGATATGGAAGGGTCGGCCTAAATTTTCCGAGGCCCAACTTGTAAACTTTTTTTAAAGAATATATATTGGTAAAATATTAAAAATCTTCAATTTATTTTACAAATTACATTCCACTATTCCAGTATGTGCGATTGATCCCCATTCAAATTGAAGGGACAAATAAAAAAAAAACCGTAAAAAATGAAAACAGTTCAAGAATCTATGTTACAACTTCCAAAATCTAAGATCTTAAACAATTTATAAAAAAATAAATAGAAAAAAAACCATCTTCATTCTACATTGAAAATGTACACAAAAAGATTCAATAGTACGAGGCTAGGTAGGTATGAGTGCCAATATTTGGTTCCTGATAATTCCCATGCACTTCTGAATCTCCGCATAGACCGGAAGGTTCTGCAAGCTGCAAGGCTGCAAACTAACAACAGCAGAATCCAGTATCTGGGCCACATCAGCTGGTGGAAACTGTCGTTCCGTACACTTCTGCAATTGTTTATGAAGAAAATATTCAACATTTATAACAAATGTAAGAAAAAACTAAAGAGATAAAAGCTTTAGACTCTATGTCCAAAAGGAGAAAATAAGAAATTGCCGTTAGTGCTACCCAGATAGCCAAAACCCATGATTTGATGGCTATCAATCCTTTACAACATCAGGTACTGTATAAATGATGCCTAGTCAATCATAAATAGAAATTTTATACGTAAAATAGGCCATTTTTAAAACAGTGCTGCCATACTAAAAAGTGGGCTACTATGAAAATCACAAAAAATAGTAACAGTTCGATGGATATATATATATATATGCGATTGTGTGTGAAAAAAATAACTTTGGAACACATCTTCAAATTTACCTGAATCATGAGTAGAGTAGCCACACAGTGACTGATAAGTTCTGCTGGGATTTGTGCTTCATTTTTGTCCGACATGTTCTTCAACTCTGCTTCAGGCTTATTCAATGGACTCGATGTGCCATTAATTAGATCGGCAGGAGTAGAAGGTATCATGGCCACCATGCAAGAATCATTCAATGAAAGCCGACTACTTACATAATCTATAGCCTCCTCAATCCTCGCAACAGCATTTCCTCCTCCCTTCAAAGATGACATTGCCTAAAATGATGATTTAATGGAGAAACTCTAGTCAGAACTAGTGAAACATATCAGTGCTTAAAGCTCAAGAGGTCAACATGATGAATGGTTTACCTATGGTAGAAGAATCCATAACTCAGTTCAACCCAAAACAATACTCACCTTGTTTGGTTAGTTTTAGAAAACTGTTTTTTGAGTTTTTTGTGTTTCATCTTTAGTGAAAATTTTAAACTAAAATAAAATAAAAAAATTAGATGCACTTAAAATATAAAATGTTTGTGAAGAAATCTGGAAAAAAATTCACTAAAGACAAAAGTTTTTTTTAATCACATCCACATCAGGTGCATCTAAAAAGTTTTTTTTTTTTTTTTTTTTTTTTTTTGACTCAAATATGAAAAAATTCACAAAGAATTAAGAAAATAAAATGAAAAACAAAACTCAAAAACAAATTGTGTTTAAATTCCAAACAAGGTGTAGCCTATACAGCGCAAAAGAAGATCCCACCAGGTGCCTACTGCAAGTAGTAGGGCTATAATTCTTTGTTGAGATGAGTGGTAGTAAGTATCAACACATCACAATGCATTATATGCTTCTCTCCATGTATGCCTCTTTGCATCTCCACGTGTAAGATGGGGTTGCACATGGGAGCTTGAAATGCATTTTTGGGCCTTTTTTCTAATAGCTTAAGCTTTTGAGGCAAGTGGTAATCTACTAGTCAACATATAAGAAGAATCTATTCTTCCAATTGTATCATGATACATGAGTACCAAATGACTGCAGGGAAAAAAATGACATTATGTACCTGCATAGCGGCATCTACCATCATTCGAGCTTTTATTCTTGAGCTCTCGACAATTTCATGGACATGAGATCCTGATTCCTGTGGGTGATTTGCAGGTTGTTCAGACGAGCTCAAGGGACCACCAGAGTCCCCTAAATTGGCTGTGATCCTTGGCCAGGTAAGTGGGGAGCTTCCTTGGTAAGTGTTGCGTTGCCTCAAACAAAAAATAGCAGAAGAAACCTGCCGATTAAGTAGATTGACTTTAACAACCTGCATGAATATATATATATACACAACTGATGATAAAATTGAGCAGAACTGAAAATTAGTTCATGAAAATCACATGCCTGCTCATTTACTTCATTTAACTGTACAAGTACAGCAGCATATTGCTTCTTAAAAGGCTCTGAGTCCTTTAAAGCATCGTCACCATCCCTTTGGCTTTCCAACACGTCATCGTTCATTTGCCTCAATTCAGACACCACTGCTTCCTACAAGTTCCAACATGGAAGATCAATTCACTTTGAAACTATCAATTTTGATAGGAGAACAAGTTAGTAAAAATGGATTTCATTTTAGAAATGTTTCAAGGGCAGTTTTGAGGAAAAAGGATTAACTCTACCACAATGTAAAAGCAGCTATGTTAACAGAACATAGCATCAATGCAACAAAAAGTTATTGAATTGATAATTGATTGTACAGGTGAAACCTCTTAAATGAACACGAAGAAGGTCTTGTGTATTCATCATTAAGTATACAGCTTTAAAAGATGCATAAGTAAGTTTTACAAACTACAATTTTAAAAGATGCATAAATAAGTTTTACGAGCTACAACCTTTTTATCAAGAGCACGAGTCAGCTCAGCAAGAGCTTGGACATCAGCTTCCTTTGCTTGGATCTGTGCCAGTATAGAAGGCTGAGAATTTGCTGCTTGTTGATTGTTGGCAGTTTCCTTGGGTCCAATTTTAGCTTGCAAATTAGGATTTGCAGACACCCCCTGGCCAAAAAAGTTTCTTTCAGAAAATCTTACAGTTGAATGCTGTTATGTTTTAATTCTGTATGACACTGAGTTACAAGGATGTAAGAGTGACACAAATAATGAAACAAGATAACCATTATATATTCAAAGATATTGCTTAGAAGGTTAAGTGGCATATAATGGGTTATAATGATGTTTGTAATATCTCCTATATAAAGAGTGTCATTTGGTCTTGTAAAATAAGAAGTTTTGAATATAACAGAAATATATTCCTTCTTCCTCATATTTTCGGAGTTCTTCTTCCTCATATTTTCTAAGTCAAAGATATTGCTTAGAAGGTTAAAATGCCTTCCAAGGTTTCTCTTTTTGCTTGGATGGCCACTTGGGAGCAGACCCTCACAATCAATAATCTAATTCAGAGGGAAAAAAATGATACCAAATATGCATTACATGTGTAAGGAAGCAGGAAACAGTGAAACACTTGTTTTACCTTTTCTAATGGCAACAGACATATAATGTTAAAACCTATCACCTACTTCACCCACTTAAACCTACTCCACTAAACCTAACCCACTACACCACTACCATCTCACCTACTCCACTAAACCTAACCCACTACACCACTACCATCTCACCTACTCCACTAAACCTAACCCACTACACCACTACCATCTCACCTACTCCACTAAACCTAACCCACTACACCACTACCATCTCACCTACTCCACTAAACCTAACCCACTACACCACTACCATCTCACCTACTCCACTAAACCTAACCCACTACACCACTACCATCTCACCTACTCCACTAAACCTAACCCACTACACCACTACCATCTCACCTACTCCACTAAACCTAACCCACTACACCACTACCATCTCACCTACTCCACTAAACCTAACCCACTACACCACTACCATCTCACCTACTCCACTAAACCTAACCCACTACACCACTACCATCTCACCTACTCCACTAAACCTAACCCACTACACCACTACCATCTCACCTACTCCACTAAACCTAACCCACTACACCACTACCATCTCACCTACTCCACTAAACCTAACCCACTACACCACTACCATCTCACCTACTCCACTAAACCTAACCCACTACACCACTACCATCTCACCTACTCCACTAAACCTAACCCACTACACCACTACCATCTCACCTACTCCACTAAACCTAACCCACTACACCACTACCATCTCACCTACTCCACTAAACCTAACCCACTACACCACTACCATCTCACCTACTCCACTAAACCTAACCCACTACACCACTACCATCTCACCTACTCCACTAAACCTAACCCACTACACCACTACCATCTCACCTACTCCACTAAACCTAACCCACTACACCACTACCATCTCACCTACTCCACTAAACCTAACCCACTACACCACTACCATCTCACCTACTCCACTAAACCTAACCCACTACACCACTACCATCTCACCTACTCCACTAAACCTAACCCACTACACCACTACCATCTCACCTACTCCACTAAACCTAACCCACTACACCACTACCATCTCACCTACTCCACTAAACCTAACCCACTACACCACTACCATCTCACCTACTCCACTAAACCTAACCCACTACACCACTACCATCTCACCTACTCCACTAAACCTAACCCACTACACCACTACCACCTCACCTACTCCACTAAACCTAACCCACTACACCACTACCACCTCCACTTCACCTACTCCTTACCTACTACACACTCACCCTCTTCTATATATAAGAATCATGAATCATTGTAATATATATAACATTACATCAATCAATAATACATCAATTCTAACATATAAAGTGTGTTGTTCTCATTATAATGGATTCAATGGGTGTTTCTTGAGAGTGAGACAGTTTGAGAAGTTAGAGGGGAGTAGAGAAGGAAGAGATGTCCGTCTAGGAGAGATACAAATTGGAAAGTGACCCTCTGATCATTTTTGGTAGTTTGTTTTGTGTTTTGGAAGGAAAAGGAATAGCAGGTCGTTTGAGTTAAGGAGTTGAGCAATCTTTCTCCTTGTACTATATGTACTTGTTATATATGCACACTTACAAGATGAATTGAGCTCAGGAGGTTTAGGCCATCTGTTTACCAGTTTGAGTTTCGTCAGTAAATGTGAAATCCTGTTTATTCTGCATATACTTGGGTGGCACCCCTTCTATCTCCTTTCTAGTTATTACTCGTTTATCAATTAAAGTATATTAAGATTTTACTGCATAGATCAGGAGGAAAGCTCAACAACATTTTATTTAGTTGACCTATAATAAATGGGACAAGGTTTGTTACTAGAGGTTCAAAGTATTCAAGAATTGCATAAACTTCTGAAAGCATTCATAAAGTTATGAAAACTTTATAAAAAAAAAATTCATATCTGAAAGTATAACTTTTAGTTGATCTGATAAAAAAGCTCCTTGTCAGGAAAGTGTAATAATTTTTGCACTTAGCCCTGGAAATTTCAGACCCACCAAAAGCTTTTCATAACTAGATAGCTACGTAATGAGGAAATCATGAAAGCATATGTGTTTTAAAAAAATAAATGTCTCACATTGAAACCAGATGAAAACTCAACTGCATTACACCACATAACCACAGAAACAAACATGAGTTTGTGTTGGAAAAGACAAAGAAAGAGAAGACAAGAAGTTCTTTTGATGGGGATTTGACAAATAAACAAAGAAACCCACCAAACCATTACCTTCAAATTCCTGGTTTTAATGTAACTGTGTCATTAAGGAGTGTGCCAAGTATTAATTCATTGGATATGCACACAAGCAACAATTAAAGTCAGGTACTACTGACCTTTGTCTGCTTTAACAAATTACTTGTGGGATAAGTTGTAGGAGACACATGAGAGGGAACATCAACATGTTCCAGGTTTTCACCTGGAGAACGTTTCATATACCCTTCTAGCTTCTGATCTTTAGCCTGCCCATTCATTTTTAGCTCATTGAAGTTCTCAAAGAATTTATCAATAGTGACTGCCTTTCTTGCAAGCGTTGCAGGCATATTCTCTAGCGGATTCAATGGCATGCAATCAATATCCTGAAACAATTAAAGTACCATGGCACTCAAGGGAAAGAACAAACCAAATGGAAGAAAGAAAAAGAAGGTTCTGCACACAAAGATCTGTCATTAAACTGAAAAATAAAACATGTGTTTACCTATATTTTACTATCACAGTTTGGTAAGATAATAAAGGTAAAAAATTTAAATCATATTGAAAAAGGATACACGACAAGGGTCCCTCCAATACACTATTTGCACAGCACAAAACTTTTCTCTTAGCATTACTGAGAGAAATGGAGGTGCCACTTGATAAGAAGACATATTTTGGGCAAGGAGAGGAAAAGGCAAATGAACAGATTTTTAAGTTTTGATAGGAATTTCAGTATTGTTAAATCACCTTTCTCATAACAAATAAACTATATATATACAAAATCAATATATGCATGTTTCGAAATAAACCTCAACCATACGTAATTCATATAAGATGCCATAAATGATGTTAGTTAAAATGTGGCACCTGGACAAATTCAACCCCTAGCTCCGGTTGGTCAAACTGAACCCGACACCTGGTATGATCAACTGTTAACACATTTCCATCATGAATCTCTCTTGTTCTTGGATGAAAGGCTATAACACGTTGGCCAACTGATAAAGGCCTTGCAAGATCTGTTGGAAGTCCTTCTCTGGTACCTGTTCGAAGTTCAGCATAATGTGTTCTAACAGAATCACGGTATTGATTAAGCTTCTCCTTTTCTTCCTTTAAAAATTGTTCAGAAAACCTCCGTGGTTTGCCAAGGGAACTGAATCAACAAACAAATGCAAACTTTTCAGTATCAGACAATTTATCAGTATCTATCCAGGCTCTTTCTAAGCCTAGTATAATTGTATAAAGTGCATACTACTAAGAATAGAAATTCAATGCAATATTACATAGCCCACCACGCCTCCACTGGGATGGGTTTGGTGGAGCTTCTAATCATACTAGCAGCAGTTTATCTAACTTGCTTAAAGGAGGTACCAGGATAGACAGAAAACCACCCCTGATACGCACACCATATAATATGTACATGCGAGTGACTCGCCATTTTACCGGACAAACTTGTAGACCACCTTTCCCCACTAAAGCATCACAACTATGTATGCTAATCAAACAGCGTGTGTGGTTTTCTCTAAGGCCATGTGGTACCTGAGTTTGGAAAGGTTCTTCTTTCAGTGTGATCATTTCATTGAAAAGCCAAGTGCAAAAGCTTGAAGACAATCAAATGGAAAAAACTTGGGCCACAAAATCCACCCTACAGCCTATCCCTGTCCCGCATCAAGCTTGGAAACTTTTTTTTTTCTTCCCATGGCAGGTGTTGCCATTCCTACATACTACACAAGCAGTGGAAAGTAAATACCTTCTTATGACACCCCATTCAACACGCGTTAATCTTGGAACATGGCCCAATCCAACATGATTCAAGTACTCCACAAACTCCCTTTTAGCAAACCATGGGTAATCAACAGCACTGTAGAACCACTCGAAAGCACACCATCTCCTTAAACGACTGTTTGATAGGCAATTAGAAAGCTTCTCCTGCATTTAAAATCACACATGAATAAACTAAAACTTTTAAAGGCACCGAAGTTCATGAAAAATTGTACAAATGATGACCTTAAGATTGAGTGCTCCATCATGGAAAGAAGGAACTGGTAAATTAAGTTTGTGGTCATTCAATTCTGAGAACTTCAAATCTTTCAGATTCTGTGGTTTCTGTAGCTCCATCTTACGCCTGCTCCTTACTTTCGTAGGTAAGTTAACCTGGTTTGCCATGGGAACCTGTACAGTTGATAGAGCTGAATCATCCTTTTCCCCTCTCAGGTCAGTACTTGAAGAAGAATGCTCTGAATGTCTGACCAATTTCCCTTGTTTTTGCTGTGAATTACTATAGCAAGAGCGTTTACCCTTGCTAATTAACTTCTTCCCCACATCTCTAGCCTACAACCAAAGTGCAAGACTAAAATATTATAATCAATGGTATAAACTGGAGGCAATAGATAAATAAAATTAAAAAACAGAAACGAAGAAAAAGGAGAGAAAAAATAAAGTAAACAAGAAGGGATTAGATAGCAATAATTTCTTACCTCAGGAAAAAAAATGGAAAAGGAGCAGGAGAATGAGAATGCATGTTAATATATACATATATATATTTGGTAACTTATAATGAATGCTGTAAACATAAAACAAGGCCAGAAATTATGCAAAAGAAGAGCAACCACCAATATGGGTGGAAGAAATAACCATCCTTCTTAGCATTTTTGTTAAAAGAACTGTCTGATTTGGCTGTTGGTTACAAGTTAATTAATAATTTAACGCATAGTTGTCAAATCCATAATCATATTGTCAAACAAAATCCTAATCATGAGAAAAACATGAATCGACTGAATAGAGAATTGTAACATTTGGCACAAAACTACATACATAAATAAAAAGATGTTGAACACTTGTATATATAAAAATAAAAACTAAATTGATTTTAGAACATGTCATTTAAGAGTTGTTATATTAGACACATTGCCTTTATAGTCAGAGATGTGAGTCCAAATCCCAGCAACCACAAACTATTTAAAAAATATAATATATTCTCTCGCGCCGTTCAAAAAATGTACCCAGAAGCCATAAATACAATAGAATAAGAATAAGTGCGTACGAACCTTGTAAGATAAATTGATAGAGAGAGAATAAATTGTATGTATTATGATTGATTTATTGAATGTTATATATTACAAATGGTGAGGGGCTCCTTATATAGGAGAAAATACAATCCTTACAGGCAATGGACAATGATGGCTCATGATGGAAAGTGAAGCACTAGCACCTAAAGGCACCGAAAGGGAGGCTCACTATCTACTAATATATTATATACTCTAACAGCCCCCCTCAAACTCAAGGAGGATAGGTACAAACCGACTTGAGTTTGGAAAGGAACAAAACGTGAAAATAAACTAATACATAAATAAAAGAGGATAGTAGACACTGTATGGTCGTGTCAGACCGTTGGTGAAGACACGGTATGGTCGTGTCGGACCATGGTAGCAGGACAGTTTAAGGGGTCATGCCGGACCGATGTAGAAGCTGACCGGAATCAATGTCGGGACAGTTTACGGGGTCATGCCGGACCGATGTAGAAGCTGACCGGAATCAATGTCGGGACAGTTTATAGGGTCATGCCGGACCGATGTAGAAGCTGACCGGAATCAATGTCGGGACAGTTTACGGGGTCATGCCAGACCGATGTAGATGCTAACCGGAATCAATGTCGAGACAGTTTATGGGGTCATGCCGGACCGATGTAGAAGCTAACCGGAAGCAATGTCGGGACAGTTTATGGGGTCATGTCGGACCGATGTAGAAGATTGTGGTGGTGCACCAAGGGGGCGACTTAGGGAGTGCGCCATGGGATGGCTTGGGTGGTTCCCATAGTATATAACCATGCTCATTAGCTTGGGTGGTTCGCATGGTGTGTAACCATGCTCACCATGATATATGTATAACCCCCCCTCAAACTCAAATAGGTGTGAAGATAGAAACCTATTTGAGGTTGAAACAAAGGGATTAATAAAGTGGAGTAAAATAGCTCAACACAGAGTGAAGATGTGAAAAAAAAAAAAAATGATAGAAAGGGTTTTTGTTGTTTTTTTTTTTTGTCGGTTGTGGTGTAAAAAAAAAGGGGGGTTTGAAAAGTGAAAGGTTTTTTTTTTTTTTTTCAATGAAGAAACTATGCGTCAAAATAAAGTGGGGGTTAATGCCCAGCAAAAGGAAATGATGTGGAAAGACAAAGGAAATGATGTGGGGAAGATGGATGTTGTAAAAGAAAGGTGGGGGGTACATGCGGGACAGGCCCACGTGCATGTCGTGAGAATGAAAATTCAAAGGTGAGTGGAGTAGATGATTATCACTGAAAATTCAAAAAATAATGGAGTAGAGGATGGGTCTCAGCAATACCAAAAGTAGTGGAGACAGCATAATGCAATAAAGAATGTGATGATGGGTTGTGTAAGTCTTGGATGGGCTGTGGGATCAGACAGCTGCCTATACACATCGGTTTGAAAAAAAAAAAAAAAACAAATGGCGAATTTTTGAAAAACCGGTGGTAGTTTCTGAATCTGTGGACTGGTATGTTTGGGCATAATATATTATAATAGTCTTCATTTATTCTAGCCGGCAAGGATGCGAGCCGAGCCCTAGCCAAGATGAGCAAGAACGAGGAAGACGTCTGTGCCTCTCTCGATGGCCTTTCGGAGAAGGAGATCGGCGTTCTCAAATTCGGGTGAATCTTTGAGGGTCTTGGATAGATTATCTGATTTGGGTGTGAATCGGTTGAAGCCCGATTTGGTTGCTTGTGCTGCTTTAAAGCAGCTCTATGATTTGGGCTACTCGCCCATGGAATTTCGTGCGCATGTCCCAATGGGAGGAAGAAGAAGACGCCATTTTTGGAGTAGAAGCTTGTGAGAGTAGTTCGATTTGGTTGTTGTTGGTTCCTTCTCAGTTTTGCCTTCAAATCTGTAGTTCCTACATTAGATGTGGTTGAAGCAGTTGGAACTGAATTCGAAGGAGCTACAAATGTGGACCCAAATTTGAAAAATGGGAGCCGCTGGAAATGACGGTGTTGCAGCAGAGTGGACGGACTGCTATTGGAGGCAGTGACCGTGATGATAGATCTATGTTGTAACAAAGCTGCAGCAAGAAATAGTGATGGTTCACGGCAGCAAGTGTAAAAATATATGTATTATTGATTGATATTAATTGATTTTCTATCTATTACAAATGGTTCCTTATATAGATGTAGGTGTAGCCCGCCGGTGAAGCAGAATTACTAGCTTCTTAACCTTGCTCTGATACCATGTAAGATAAATTGATAGAGAGAGAATAAATTGTATGTATTATGATTGATTTATTGAATGTTATATATTACAAATAGTGAGGGGCTCCTTATATAGGAGAAAATACAATCCTCACAGACAATGGACAATGATGGCTCATGATGGAAAGTGAAGCACTAGCACCTAAAGGCACCGAAAGGGAGGCTCACTATCTACTAATATATTATATACTCTAACAAACCTTTTATTTTAAAACGTAACACACTTTAAAAGGTATGTATGCTTATTGTTCAAATAAGTTTTAAAAACTTTAAAAATATATATATTTTAAAACGTAACACACTTTAAAAGGTATGTATGCTTATTGTTCAAATAAGTTTTAAAAACTTTAAAAATATATATATATATATATATTGTGGAACCTGTTGGGTCTGACTGACTTGACCTATATCATATTAAATCATGTGTGTTTCACCAAAATAACAATAGATAATGCATAGGTGTAAGTTACTTTAGCAATATCCTTCTATGATGTATTTTGCCATTTTTTTTAAGGGGAAAAAAATAACGAAAAAAAGAAGTAAATAAAATGTTGGGTAAAGAAGTACGGGTGAGTCAAAATCTGTCAAACCTAACAGTTCCATGTTAAAACCTATCACCTACTTCAACCACTAAACCTAACCCACTACACCCACTACCACCTCCACTTCACCTACTCCACCTACCACCTACTACCACCTACTCTTCTATATATAGGAATCATTGTAGCATTCAATAATTCAACAATTACAAACATCAATCAATAATACAATTCTCTTTTTCTCTTTATACATTAAATTTCTACATTCCAAGAATCACATGAATCATGCAATTCACCATTGAACCTATACCAAAATAGATTCTCCTATATATTCGTATTGATCTATGCATAAATTGTGAATCATAAGATTGTAATAACAAAGAATAAATATAAAATGACATCAAAGACTGGCATTCACACGCATATAGTCAGTATTACAGTATGTGTCATGAAAATGAATCAATATATGCAAGTGTCACTTAGCCTGCTAGTCTCCAGATGGTTGTGCAGGAGAATGGGATTGAATTCTGCTAACATCAAAAAGGCATTACGGGGAGGGATGGAGGTTTATTCCTTGTTATGTAGCCTATTCTCAACCTTTAATCCAAAAAAGGAATTACATGAATTTGCACAAAATGTGTGCAGTACAATTATAAAGGGAAAAGAACAAATGAATGAACACACAAATATGGAAACAGCTATCCTATGTCAAATCTGAACTAGGACAGCATTCTGCCATTTTTTTTTTATTTTCCAGTAGCTCCCCTTTGTTATTTGCAGATAGATAGTAACTTCCAAATATATCCGTATATGCTAAACACATGGAAATAAAGCTTAAAAAAGTAACAATTCCAATGCTTTATTCATATAAGTTCATAAACCTTTTAGATTCATTAACACTGATAACTGTAAGATTGAGCAAAATAAATTAGATAAAAACACTTCAATGACCTCAAGGATAATACTCTAAAATCGGTGCATAAATTCAATAACTTCATTTCCCATGCTAATCACTAAAAAATGAGCTAATAAATTTTTTAGAACACCAAAATTGTCCATGGGTTCAAATCATTCAAGCTACAGGTGAAGCACTTGTGTTAAAGTTATGAATCATGCTAACAACAGCCCAATGGGTTTACCAACACAAATTCCTAAGCACTTTACATATTTTTAAACACTTTCCACACATTCCCCTGCACTTTTCTCACACACATTGAGGCTAATGACAGCCCTTTAGCATTTTCATAAAATCAATGATGCTAGGGCTTAAATAAATAAATAAATAATTTGTCGATAAATAAAGAGTATATTAGGGCTTAAATAATAATAATGAACTCTCATCGGTTTGCCATTGTTCCAGAAACAATTTCAATAAAAACATGAAGTGGGAGAATCATGTTACAAGAACGTCATAACGTTCATCCAGTCAAGAAGCAGGATACAAGAAGCTCCTTTTTATAACAAAAAACTGATTTGATTCCATGAAAACATTGAAAGTGTACATCCAAGAAAGTTTCCAAGAGAGAGAGAGAGAGAGAGAACAAACCTCGAGCTCCTGAGATTCACTCGGATGAGAATCAATATGAGCTTCAGTTTTTGGAATCTGCACAAGATATGCTGTTAGCATAAGTTCAACATTCATAAATCAGATGAAGGATCCACAATATTTGTTAGAATATATCATCACCTACCACCTCCACTCAACTCACCTACCACACACACTCACCTACTCCCCAATCCTCTCCTATATAATTAGTACCTCACCATCTGTAATTTACACATCAAAACATCCATCAATCAATCAATAATACATATATTTTTTAACAATATTAATAATAGAATGATACAAGCAAACTGGTGTTAATTAAACTCAACATGAATCAATATGAGCTTCAGTTTTTGGAATCTGCACAAGATATGCTGTTAGCATAAGCTCAACATTCATAAATCAGATGAAGGATCCACAATATTAATAATAGAATGATACAAGCAAACTGGTGTTAATTAAACTCAACATGCTTTCTTACTTTAGATGCCGAAGTCTTCTGTTTCTTTCTTGAAAGTCTAGCAGTCGACTGCTGAGGTTCCTCCTTTGCTTCAGGGACAGTACCATCAAGAACTGAAAATTTTCCAATCTTTGATGTTTTAATAGAAGAGGCTCTACATCCCGATACTACTTGATTTCCTTTCGCTTTGACTCCCAAGGATTTAGGTCTGTTCCTTTGATGGGTTGCAGGCACAGTTTCCAGTACCCCATACTTGCCAACAAGATCATCATCTTCGTCTTTGACCTGCAGTGATGACTCTGATACACAAGAAAACAATCAATTAAGGGGGGGCACACAATACTGTCGAGAATGAAAAATGAATAATCGCATGGTACGAAAAAAACAAAATAAATTGAAAGTATGACATCTGTAAAGATTGCCCAAACTTTGACTGAAATCCACTATTCCGTAATTACTCAGAACATGCCAAGAACAATTAACATGAAGACCAGGCATACACACAGAAAAAAAAAAATCAAAATTTAATAAAAAGGAAAAAGAAAAACATGAACATAGACAGGTTTACCAGGATCCAACTTACAATCAACTATTCCATGTAGAAATGATATAATATTCTAGGTGAGAAATTGTAATACAAAGAGATTTTAGGATTTGTTTTTAAGTAACATTATGTTCAGTTACTCTCTGCAGAGTGAAAGCTCTACACCCGTGCCTTGAATACAGCTATATAAGACATAGAGAAGTAACATGGCATGCGTATCGTATTGTGAATCAGGAAAAATTTCCCAAATGGATATTGTCCAGCTGGCCACAATTTTTCTGCTTGTGTCCTTACACATTTAATCAACCGAATCTCCTATTTTAACCAACAAATTCCCCAACCAGACAACTATTTGCAGGGAACTAGCCACATCATACGCACTCATTAGTGCCAAAAAGAAATAAGAGCATGCTCTATGTCAACACACTAATTTGATTGATCAGGATAGCCAACATAGTTGACCTATGGTCACTTTCTACCTGAAAAAGAGCAAGCAAGAAATGATAAGAGGGAAGATTGTGAAGGAATAAAATACTCCCTCAAACAATTTTGCAGACAAATCCTCATAGTTAGAGACATGAGTTCACCTTCACCAAGACATCTAATGGGGTTTCGAATTAAGAGAGCAATCTAATTATATTGAAAATAAACCAACCTTGCTATATTATTCGTTTTACTAATAGATATTAGGATTTTACCCTTGAAGTGCTTTTGATTTGACACTTCTTTTCTAGTTTGGTTAGTGATTATCATCATTGGCTCTATATACAGCTACGTAACGGAGGATTTTTAAGAGTTAATTATTACTATTATGAAAGACAGTTCTCAATTGCCTTTTCTCATGACCATTCTTCTTCGTCCATTCTTTCAGTAAAGTTTATTCCTGTGCCATACAACAAAGCATACCAGTTAATGTTGTAGATGTTGTAATTGGTGGTCCTACAATTGGTTAGAGCCTGAGAAATTTTTTGATGAGAGAAATCAGAGTTTGGTATGAAATGAAAAGGGTTCAAGTTCCTATAGTAGGCTTCAAAACCTAAGGGTCAATCTTGAACAATTTGTTTATAGGATTGATATTCAAAATTTCAAAGCTCACGACAAATGTTGGGATCAGTTTAATAATCTGGTAACAGTTGCCAAAAAAAACACATACATGATACCAGAGGCGGGCGTAATCCAATTAGTAGACTTGCAATGGCATGCGGTCCATAAAGAACAAATGCAAGCATATGCAAGGCTTTCAAAAAGGGAGGCTAGTGGTGAGTCAACACAGAGTGAAAGTACAATGAGATTTCGGGTGCAACGGAGGAATAGCAACTTGCCTTTAATCATTGTGGTTGTAAAGCATGGTCATTAGACAAGAAAGATTCAACAGATTAAAAGACCATAGAATGAATAATGATTTCCACCAAATTTTTGACTCAAGGTGAAGGCATGATGGATGATGTCTCAAAAGTTTAATTGACATAGCCCACATATAAACCTCATGTCACCAATTACTTGCTTTCTATAATCTCCAAAAACTAAGATCTCAAAATGCATATAAGCTTACCATTTTCAATTGCTGTTGCTGGCATCATCAATGACAAATCAGCCAAAGTTTGCAAGGCGTCAAAGGCAGACCCTTCATCTACACAATGAGAAGTCAACGTCAAAAAGAGTGAATACCATGTTAAATTGTCAATCATTAACAATATGCAAGTTCCAAGTTTGTTTTTGTCATCCCATGAGGCCAAAAACAGTGGTAAAATACACTTACACTCTTTAAACAGTGGCATCACAACAAAACCATGTTTTGCTACAAAATTACTATATTTTAAAAATCTCCCACGAGAATTCACTTCTAGTTCACATATAAATAAATAAATAAAAACAAGAAGAAGAAAACATCCACAAGGCTCAAGATAAAATAAATAAATTTTACTGAAATCATCCAACTCAGTTTACTTTTTTTGTTTCTGTTGTTATCTTACAAGGTGGTTTACTGTATCTGTATCAAAGTAAAAAACAAAAAAGAAATCTCATCACCAGTGGAAACCAAAAAAGAAAGGAAAGGTCCTCAGATCAGTGAATTGCATAGAAAGACAAAATGGTACTTGCTTCAGCAAATTTTACCAAAGCAACTAAGATCCTTACTAGGCATGTGATATCAACAAACTTGAGCTTTTCAGGTATAAATCCTCAAGAAGACAAAGCAAACATGCTTAATCTTATATATATATACTATATTTAATATAAGTAACATGGATACAAACACGGGACACAAAAGATATGACACCATAAGGACACTCCACTTTCATATTTTGAGAGGAAAAGAGATCCTTATATGCACGATCTAACCATCTTCCACCAAATTAACAAGTGTGTATCTAGAATGTGTTCACAAAATAACAAATAATGGAAGCAATTGTAATTGTGCTTGAGGACAAAAGTAGAAGAACCAACACAATTCTCTCTCCAAGAAAAAAAAATGTAGTAATATTTTTCCCACTAAAAAGCCTAAAAAGAGAAGAAAAGAAAGACAACAACAGCAAAATCCATACAACTTTAATCAAAATTATTCACACACCTCTTCTGAAAAGAACCTTTTTGCTTTTCTTCCTTGAAGCTTGAGAAGAGGACAGTGCAAGTTTTCCATCTTTAACCTCAAATTCAAGTTTTCCTCTGGCAGCACCTATGTTTTGTTCTTCTTCTGTCCCACTACAGGCTTCCTTAATGTCATCCAAGAGATTGTTTCCACTGTCATCAACTTGTAACTTCTTTCCGTGAAGCCTTCTACCCTTCCTAGCTTCAGTAGCACCAACACCTTTGGTTTGTATCAAATAATTTCTATCCCTAGCAAAATCTCCATTATCAGCTTCCATGCTTCCTAAACTTCCTTCAAAACCATCTTCATCCATTTCACTACCGAGCTTGGCACTGGTTAATTCCAATTCAGCACGCTACATCCAAAGATGGTTCACAATCAATTAATCATTTATTAAGGGTTTATTAGAGAAAGCTACAAAATCCATTAGTAAAGAATGGATTGTTACCATCCTTTCAGCACTCCGAATTGGTGATGACATAATGCTATCTGTTCTTCTGTTTGGTGTTTGAGAAACTTGGGGAGAACCACCTCTTTGAGAAGCCTCTGCCAGTGCTAATGCTACCTCATGAGCCACATCATCATCATTAGCATCCACCTTTAGTTTCAGGCCTTGCCTTGTTGGAGAAAAAAACTTTTCCCCATTAACCTTCTCATAAGAATATGAAACAGGGAAGCGTGGTGTCCTTCTCCCCACAGCACGAGGCCGACTTCCTGTGGCAAAATCCAAAGCAACCTTGCATAACTAAGAATCACATCACTTTAATTCTAACAAATGAGCAAAAAAGGCTCTCTTATAAGCTAGATTGGAAAGAGACACCAATAGAAGTAAATAAACATTTACTATACAAGATAGAATCCGTTTCCTATGTTTCCATCAGGTATCAAAGCTTTAATACAAGATCTTCTTTCTTCTTTTTTAAGTAGAAGTTTTAAATTTAATTTACAAAAATCAAAAACTGAAATGAACATCAGAGATCTAGGTAGCCCAGTTGGAAGCACTTGAACACCAAGCAAATAGCAGTAAATGCAATCCATGGCCCCTTCACCAAAATGCCCCTTCAAACCTAAAGGAGAGTTTAAACAAGTGCACCTCCACTCACATAGGTACACTAGAGATAGGAGGGTGGTGCACTTGAATCCCTCAAAAGTTATTTCTAAGCACAAGATCATACCACCAGAGCGCTTCTTCTTCAATAATGGCAGACAACCAGAACTTGATGCAACTGGCTGTGAATAGGAAAGAAATTGCCCATCAGATCCTTTAGAGGTATTAGGCCAAATTTTCCCCCTAACACGCTTTTGAGATTTTCGGGAAGTGCCTATACCATCATTGCTTTCTTGTTCACTGTCACTTCCTTCCTGCCAGGCCACAATCCAAGTACTTAAGTTACACATAAATCATTTCAACAAGTCTCACACTGTTTACATTCATCATAAAATAAGGAGTTTCAATGAGGTATTCACGTTTCTGATAAAGGGGTTCCCAATAAAGGAGTTTCTTGACAATCAACTTGCAAGATTTTGGGACTGCATGTTTTCATAGAGTAGTTGGCTGCATAAATAATTTTATTTTCATTTTATTAGGTTTATAAGTTAAGGGGTACTTTGAAATTTATATATTTGTTTGACGTAGGCTGTAGCTTTGGTCCATGGGTTTTATTCAGAGTCAAATAATGTTTTGGTCTTATATGTGGTCTATATTAGGCCCAGAATATTCTTATTGATAAGTTTCATTTCTGATTTGGAACCTTAATTCTGGTAGAGTTGATGCAGCACCAAAAGTGCAAGGGTTAATTAAGCCAGGCCATAACCCAAGTCATTGTAACAGCCCTTTCTTAATTGTCATCATTCTTCTTATTAGTTATTGTGATTTTAGTCTCTAATGAATCATCTGCCTATTAATTTAAAAAGTCACATACTTGTCATGTGAATCACGGGTGCAGTGTTACCAGAAAACGCTGATACTATAGTAATTTATGTTTTGGAATACATATTCCAAAACATTATTACCCTTTTGCTCCAAAAAGGTGATTCAGTAATCACAAAAAAAAAAGAAAAAAGGACCAACATATTTCCTTGAAGGTTTTCATAGAAGGGGAAAAAAAAATCAAGGGCAAATTACATATACCCCCCTCGAGGTTTGGCTAAATTACAAATACCCCCCTGACGTTTGAGAAATTACAAATTTCCCCCCGAATGCTATATTTGCATAACAAATTAGGGGGTAATTTGTTATGAAATTTAAACCTCAAGGGGCAAATTGTTATGAAAATACAAACCTTAAGGGGCGGGATGTAATTTCCAAAACCTCAGGGGAGTATCTGTAATTTAGCCAAATCTCAAGGGAGGTATATGTAATTTGCCCAAAAATTCAAACATAATAAACTAAAATCTAAAGAGAGTGGAGTTTTCCTGCACGTGTCTTCAGTTGTTGAAAGAAAATGTAGGTGCTACCATAACTATTTTCTTGAATCTTACAGAATTATGTATCACAAGAAAGTTTAAATTATAAACCTTGTAAACTGAACAACTAACGGGAAAGTAAATCATTTTTCTATTTTCTTTTCATTTCCTTTTCTTATCTATTTTTCTCATGAAAAATTTCAAGTACATCATTCCGGACAACTAAACAAAGCCTTGTCTAATTGTTAAAAGAAGATTTCTCTAGACATATCTTAAATTCTAATAATATAATACAAGTCTACCTCTATCTTACCGCATTTTAGAGTATGTGGCTTACCATGTTTCTGCTCCCATTCCACATACCAAAACCATCAACTTTCCAAGTAATATAGCATAGGTGCTTCTATTTACACCTCTTTTTTTCTCTCCACACCCACCATTTTTCTACCTTCTTATTACAATTCTATCCCTAAACTAAATTACCGTCAAAGAAAACATCTGAAATTTTAAAACAAAGTCTCTCTCTGCATCGAACCGCCACCCACTACCCACAAACACCCATCCACCACTCACTGCTACATTCCCCCACCACCGCTGCCCCTATGAATAGCAACTTAATATCTATATGAATAAACTTTTGACAAAAAGGAATAAAACACTGGAATAGAAGTGCACCTTTTAGGTATATCAGAGACTTTTACAGTTATTTGAAAAACATCAAATGCAGCCTAGCAAGTCATTTCAACTCATAACCAAAACACGAGTTGTCCATGAGAAGTGTTCTACATATAAATGCAGGATGTACTGTGTCATCTACAGTATTACCAAAAGTCGGAAAAAAGGCATAACCTTAATGGTTCAATCAGCTTCTTATTCTTTTAGTGTTGATTCTCATGTTTTCATAGAAGATGTGATGTTCATTCCTTTCCTTATGTAGTAATTGTAAGAAATAGAAGCAACCAAATTTTTGCGGTACATATTATTGGAAAAACAATCTCTTCACTAATATTCCACAAAAATAATACCAATTTCACATAATGCTAAGCCCATTAATGGAAATTAAATTACAATCTCACCATATTGCAGTAGTGATCAGTCATCATTGCAATTAAGCCTTTCACAGAAGCAGTCCCCTCCGGAAGAGATAAGTAAGCCTGAAAATATAGTACTAACATCTGTCAGAGACATTGGACAAAAAGTTCCAAGGTTTACATCACATGTACTACACCAAAATGAATCCTGAGAGGATATGGACTATGACGTCAGACATGTATCGAAAAAATGCACTTACCCTATTCATTGTGTAAAGGGCCTCCACCATTTCCACTGATCGATTCCGCACTACACTGGCCACCTTATAATCCATTTAAAACAAAAATCAGAAGACCTCAAAACTGTAATTGATCAATCAACAAAAGTAGCAGACTTGATCGCAGCTTCCCAGTTTAAGTAATGAAATGCAGCAGAATGAAGTTGCACGCTTCAGCCCAATAAATCATAAAGAATTTGAGGTAGTCGTTTTCATAGAAAGAAGGCTAGATAAAATTACAGCACTAGATCTCTTAAAATATAACCATAAGTATACTGGATCTGATAGATTTAAACCAACCTTTTTCCAATCTTTCCCATATTTACGAAATGCTTCATAGAAACGCTCCAGCTCTTCCTTGCTCCATTGTGACCCTAACATGTCAGTTAGCTTTCTCTTCTGCAAAACATGACAATTGTATCATTTTAAAGATAGTTGCCAACGCTAAGTACAACAAGTTACTTACTGTCATTGGCTCAGTTAATGCAATGCAATAGCTGAGGAAGTATAACCATGCTATTCACAATATTGACGGAAATATAGTAGTATATCGATGCAACTGAAAAATAGATAAACAACAGAAGAATCGACAAACCACCATAACTCCTAGAATAGCACAACACAAACAATGCATAAAAAATAAATAAAAACGGACAACTATTTACTTCATAATTAGCCTCAGAAACAATTGCCCCCATGTGAGGGAAGCCAATCAAACAAAGTTACAAATTCACCAAAAAAGTCAGAATCCTCTGAAGATTCTGGGGAAATTCAAGAACAATATGTAATGTCCTTAAAATCAAGTATACATTTATTTTATATTTTACTAACAAAAATTAAAAGGAAAATGTTATAGAACAACTATAAGACCAACGATATTTTACAGGTCAGAATCTTGGCCAACACCCGTCTCATTATTTACCAATGTAATTATCATTATTACGTCAGTGCCTCATCTAGCACACCACAGCCGAATACTATGTGATCTGGATCAATTTGAGGTAACAACCAGAGCAACCCATCTAATATCAAGAAGACTGCAATTAAATGTTCCTCATCATATCTTACATTCCTAATTGAACACATCATCTCAATTCTCAATGGGTATAATGTTATGAGGTATCCAGAAATATCATCCCAAACAGTTACAATAAAAAAAGGAAAGAGCAATAGGTCAATGCATTCTGTAAAAGCTACAAAGTATAATAAATTTGATATACTACTCACAACAATATAAGCCTATCTACAAGGTGAGTATCAGCCTTACATCCATAGACAATTTAATATGTGACGCTTCAGCTTGTAATGAGAGTTTCTATATTATATCATACCCAATATTATGAGCCTTAAAATTTGACTATCAAACCACTGCCAAAAATACAAAGAAAAAAAAGATACAGACATAACATAAATTGGAACTATTTATCAGAATGATGGGGAGAGTTAATTGATCATGAATATTTTAGAATATCAGCATCTTGCAAGTAAAGAAAAACACTCACCCGCTGCATGCTTTTCTTAGCATTCTCTCCATCTTTACTAGGAGACACCTCATTAACATAAGAAAAACGCTTATTCACACTTCTAGATTTTCTTGTCGGGGCCATGAGCGAATCAAACCCCTAATCACCTACGGCACACCAAAGAGGCAAAACCTGTGTTACCATATAAATTTATAGAGTGCAGAATAAGCCAAATAAAAATCTAAGTCTCAAAGAATAAAGGAAAGTTCATACTAATGTTAAAAATAAAAGAGCAAAGAGCATGCACACTTAATAAGGTTTGTCATTTCAATGCATTCTTCACCCAAATGATGGACAATGGTAATAAAAAATAAATAAATAAAGAAGAACAAGCAGAGAAGCCTACTAATAATGCCCAGTTGTATAAACTTAATTGTGTTTGCTAGCATTCACTCAATAGGGTTCTTCAATAAATTTTAACATCTTCGATTCAATTTCAAAAAATTAACATGTTCATTAACACTATATCTGAGGAACATAAAAATGGCTCAGAATCAGAAAAGTTAAAACTAATTGCAAATAGTGTAATAATTTTGATAATTGCAGCACACCTACACCTAGACATATAAAGAATCAATAAGTTTGGAGCCACTCTCCCTGACACCCAACTATACAAGACCACCAAAAATCTACTCTTCAAAGGAGACATAGAGACCTCTATCCCCTGAAACATCCACCGATTACTCTCCAAGTGCCAATCAAACCAACCACATCAAACACAACGGCACGGGATCCCAAGCCTTCCGATGTCTCTTCCCCACCCGACCAGGAGAGAAATAAAACATTAATACACATGTTATTGTTTACGCCAAATATTGTGTACAGTACCATGATATTCACTTATAATAAAAGCAACATTTAGAAAATAACTCAACCCAACAGCCCCTTCACCCCATCAACTAAGGGTCAGCTTCACATATGCTTCTTCTCTGGTCCATAAAGCTTAGTCATGTCCTCTGTTAAATGATAGGCAGCCATATCCATTGTCACATGGACAACCACATCCTCAAAATTTAATCAAATTTCAAGTTTGTGAAGTGAACCCATGTTGATTATTTATCACAGTAAAACTACTTTTTCTTCTCTCAAAATCCTTCACAGGTATAAATTTCGAGAAAATTTTTAAATCTATCCCATTCAAGTGTTCATTAAAAATAAGAACCACTACAGAAATAATGTATGACACAAAACAGTGTTGGACAGAGATATATTCAAACACCCTGAATAAGCAAAATGATAAGAAGAGAGGTGAATCCATCTGAAATTAAATTAGACATAAAGAAGTAACTAAATGCTCAGTAATTAACATATAAATAGTACTTAATCACAGCAATACATATACATTTTGAGAACACAAAAAAGCCCAACCAATAAAACAAGTTCATGAATTACACCAAAACTATTTCCACTATTTCAATTAAACACCACCAAACAAAGACAGGCATTTGAAACACTATCTTCTTGTTTTTCTTTATTTAAATTTCCAAATCCATAATGGCATGAACAAGCACAAAGTTAAATATTTAAAAAATGTTTTTTTTCCCCAGCTAGAACTCAGAACCTATGATTAATGAAGAGGCGCAAACTCTCAAAACTGGTCCTTTTTCTTTCTAACCAAAGCTCAGAACCAGCTAAAACCGTGCAAAAGCATCTGGATTTAAACCCATCAAATAGTTCTAAATATCCAATTTCAAACCGAAATCAAAGGTTAATAAGAGAGAGAAGGTTGAATTTTTTCCCAAAATTAAAGCTTCAGATGCCAGCTGATCCCGGAAAACACTTCGAAACACTTCATCCAAGAGCTAATTGACATAACAGAGCAAAATCAGCACATGCATGTTGGCACCAACATACATATAATTATATACGAACGCACTATACATGAACTAAAGCAGTAGTCTGCTACTGATCTAAATCTCCAACAAAAACTAGCAAAACCGAAGAAATCGTCATCCGAAATCAACAAGATTAGAAGAAACAGTGAATAGAACACAGAGTCAAGTGAATATAAAGACATTGTGTTAAGAGGAGTTCAAAAAAACAAAAACCCAGCTCGAAATTCCCAGTAGAAACCCTAATTAACACATCCATAAAAGAGAAAAATCAGAAAAGGCAAGAGAGATCAGCCAAATGTGCTCTTACCGATCAAATGGAGTTTGAATTCAAACTATTGAATGTGACGTGACGAAGCGAATCGATCGAATAATTGAATTGCGCGAGCGATTGAATCGAAGACGACGATGACTACATCGCAGAGATAGAGAGAGAATTGGGGGCATAACCGCGAAACTTGAAAACCAGAGAGAGAGGCCAAAGAGGCACAAATGCGTTTCTGTGTGACATTTTCTTTTAGAACCTTTTTTTTTCATTTATTTGAAAACTAGCACTTGTTTGGTTTTGATTAACTTTCTGATTTTATTTATTTTTATTTCAACTTTATTTTTTAAAACTTTTATATCTGACCTATATTCACTAAAAAATAATTTCAACTTTATTTTTTAAAACTTTTATACCTGACCTATATTCACTAAAAAATAAAAATATTCACCTTATAAGGCCGATGTTCGTATCCGAAAGACTTGTTCAGTGAAATATTTATGAAAAAAAATTAAGATGGTTTTTTATGCGGTTGTAATTCATACACCCAGTGGGGAAAACTTTTATATCTGACCTATATTCACTAAAAAATAATTTCAACTTTATTTTTTAAAACTTTTATATCTGACCTATATTCACTAAAAAATAATTTCAACTTTATTTTTTAAAACTTTTATATCTGACCTATATTCACTAAAAAATAATTTCAACTTTATTTTTTAAAACTTTTATACCTAACCTATATTCACTAAAAAATAAAAATATTCACCTTATAAGGCCGATGTTCGTATCCGAAAGACTTGTTCCGTGAAATATTTATGAAAAAAAAATTAAGATGGTTTTATATGTAGTATGTGTATTTTTTAATTAAATTTGTATTTAAAAAATTGAATAATTATTCTTAAAATTAAATATGTTATTCATTTTTTTAAAATAAATATAATTCAAATATATAGCTGGTAATATTCAATCATCTTGATTTTTTGTATAAATATTTTACTCAACAAATCTTAAAAAATAAATTATTCAGATCACCGAAATTAATCGAAAATCAAAATTACTTTAACTTGAGAGGGTTTAGGATTCATGAAAAAATAAGATTTTAAAACATTTCGAAACTATGATTATTTTGATTTCCTTTGCACGTATGAATAATTTCATTATCCTTTGCCTAAACTTTTTCACCAAAGTATAGTTTAATTTGCCAAGTTTTACACCATTTGAGATCTGTTGGTGGAATGTTTTGACCCACACACGATCTCTATTTGTTTCAAATCCATCCATTTTTATCACCTCTCACATCTATAGTCCAGCTTATTCTAAAACAATACTCATTCACATTTACTTATCTCATAAACTCAAGTGAATTTATTATAAAAATGACTCTTGGTGTTTAAGAATTATTTTGGGTAGATGGTTATAATCAATTTTTTTTGTTAAAAACTGATTATAATTAATTTTTTTGTGAGAGAGAGAAGTAGGTTATAATCTGAAAAGTGGATCATAACTCACTTCCCAAATGACCCCTAAATATATCATTTTTGAAATTCTAGACAAATATGAGTCAGTCTTTACATTCTTTCTGAATAACGGTTTCATTTAAACTCGTATTTCAAATCTCGTCAAGTAGGCATGATTAATTTTATAATTTCATAAATAGCAATATTAATAAAAATAGAGATGACTTGGCATATTTTGAACAAACGTTTATACCTTTCTCTTTCTAGCTCGCCCAGTCCATTTATAGTTTTGCAATACCCCTTTTTTTTTTTTTGAACGGAATATTTGCCAATATTGGAAAATATTGTTTTAGGTGCCGTTTGGCATTGGCTAAAATAGTTAATTTTTTTGTGTTAAGATTTTTTTAGTCTCGTTTAGTTTTTGTTTTGAGACTTTTTTGACTTTTATAAAAGAAAAAATGTAATGATTACAAATAAAAAGTAATATTTTATTTTATTAATTTATATAGCCTATTTTATCTTTTTGTATTTTTTTAACTCAAACAAGTTTACCAAATGAGGACTTATCACGTGCCCGGACGATGTTAGTAAATTTGAAAAATTCAAAAAATAGTTAACAAGTAAAAAGTAAAATAAAATAACTATATAAAAAAATCAGAAGATTGCTTTTCTTTTTTACTTTTTACATTTCTTTTATAAAAAATTAAAAAAAAAATTTACTAGTTTGTTTGCCTTTCAATTTAATTAAAAATTATTAAAATAATAGGCTCTATTTGGTTGTGTTTTAAAAACGTGATTCTACACCTACATTTAAATATGATTTGGAACAAGTTTTGGAAACATGTTTCCAAAACTCTGCAGAGAACTCTAAGACATGCGCGATTTTCGAATTTTTTTTTTTACAAATTTTGCCTAACCGGTCGTCCCACCGGTTGATCGGAATAGTGATTTTTTTTTTTTACAATTGATATGTTAATTTTTATATATTTGAAAAAAATATTTTCTGAATTTTTTAAAATTTTTTATGTGCTTTAAAATAATTTTGAGTTGTATGTTTGGTTATGAATTGTAAATTTTTATATTAAATATCAAATGTCAAATCAACAATTCCTCACTCAATTCAAAAAAAACTTCAAAACTATTTTCAAAACTCTTTACCAAACAAATTTTTTACACTCAAATCATAATTCCAAACCCATAAACTCAAAATACAATTCATACTCTCAAATCATAGTTAAAATAAAATAACTATATAAAAAAAATCGGAAGATTGCTTTTCTTTTTTACTTTTTACATTTCTTTTATAAAAAATAAAAAAAATTACTAGTTTGTTCACCTTTTAATTTAATTAAAAATTATTAAAATAATATATTCTCAAATTATTCATACGATTTAGAAAAATGCTTGGGAGTTGATGGCAGTGGGTCCCGCCATTAATGATGTGATGTTTTGGTCTTGGAGTTGTGTTTTTTTTTTTTTTTTTTACTTTTTTAATGCATTAGTGCTATTAGTGATGGTGTTTTTAGTGGGATGAATCATTGTTGTACGATTTAAGTTTGTACTAATATATTTATATTATTTTATTTACATGATATACTGACCCACTAGTAAGGATTTGTGCGGTGAGCTTTGAATGATTTGAGAGTAAAATAATAAATCAAACTGTGAATGATAGATTGTCAAATAAATCAAACCGTAGTTTGGAATAATTCTAATTTTATAGTTAATTGAAGAATATTTTTAAATAATTGTCAAGTATTTATGTAATATATAACACCATTTACATAATATTTTGTATATATAATACAAATTAATTTTACATAATATTTTATATATATGACTATTAATTTGAAATAAATTTTATATATTAAATATTTCACACACTTTATTTCACTTTAATATTTCACACACTTTAATAAATTTTACCATATATATATATATATATATACACGTGTGTGTATTAAATATAGCAAGACAGAATGATTTTAAAAATGAATTTAAAAATTTAATTTGATTCACGATTAGCTGATTCAAATTAATATGAACCGATGCAATTATAATAAATTAAGCCGTATTTTACATGGTCATACTCGCTAGTTAAAATCGGATAATTTGAGCCTTCGTTTGGAACGTGAGTTGATTTTTTTGACCTTGAGCTTTTTGGTTATTTTAGTTCGACGCTAAAAAGTCTCGATTAAAATAGACTTTTTGACTTTCATAAGAGAAAAAATAAAATGATTATGATTTAAATATCATATTTTATCTTATTAAATTTTTTTTTTTATTTTTTTAGGACTAATTTACCTCAAAAAAATTTATGCCATACATAGCGTGAAAAAGAGGGTTTAGGGTTCATTGAGTAACAAAATTTGGGGCGAAAGTTTTTTCAAAATTGTGAAGATTTCATCTGCAGAACAGGTAAGTCAGTCCCTCAACTTATTTTGCGTGAAATTTCATAAATGTCTGTTGTTAGAGCTTCTTCATGAACCCACCTCCACAATCACTATTTCCTTCAATTCCACCCATTTTCATCATCATTATCATCATTAATCGAAACCACTTCAAATCAACACTCATTCGCAGTGACTTACCTCATAAACTCATGTGGTTTTCCTGTAGAAAAGGCTCTCTCAGCATCAAAAAATGTCAATTTTGAAACCCCAGACAGACCTAACTCTGTCATCGCATTATTCGAGAACCATGGCTTCAGCAAAACCCAGATCTCAAAACTCGTTATGATGCTCCCTCGGGTCCTCTTAAGTGATCCGAAGAAAACCCTTCTGCCCAAACTCGAGTTTTTCAAATCCAAATGCGATTCAAGCTCAGATGTTGCCAAACTACTATCTTCAGAGCCAACTATTCTCAAAAGAAGCTTGGAAAACCAAATCATCCCATCTTTCAATATTTTAAAAAAATTTATGGGTTCCGAAGAGGAATTGATTTATTGTATTAAACGCTTTGCCAGGGTTCTCGTTTATGACCTTCAAGTTTTTGTAATACCCAATATTGAAATAATGAGAGAAGCAGGTGTGCCAAATGCGAATATTGTGTCCGTTTTCAAGTACCACCCTAACACTGTGTTTGGAACTCAGGAAAGAAAAGAAAAGAAATGATCTCTTAAATAATAAGAGAAAAGAAAAAAAAAAAAAATGATTGTGATTTCTTTCATTTTTGTTTGGATAAAGAAGAAATAAAAGAAAAGAAAGGATTATGATTTCTCTCATTCTTGTTTGGTTAAATTTCATTAAGAGAAAAGAAAAGAAATTATTTTATGTTATATTATCAAAATAACCTTTTTATATTTTCAATCATTTTATTTCTTTTATTTTTATAGGGACAAAATTGGTATTATGAAAATAGTGGTTTCTTTTCTCTCTTAATCTCTCTACTTTTGGAAAGATTGAAAATGAGGCTTATAAGAAAAATGAGTTTCTCTCCATTTCTCTCCATTTCTCTCAATTTCTTTCTATTTCTCTCCATTTAGGTTATCCAAACAAATAAGAGAAATGCATATCTCTCCATTTCTTTTCTTTTCTCTCCAAATCACTCGATCCAAACATAGCGGAAAAGATTCATGACACCTAGTGATAGGATTACAAAGAATGTGAATGAGGTAAAGAAAATGGGTTTTAATCCTGTGAGCTGGCAGTTTGTGATAGCTGTTAAAGCCTTTAGCGCAATGAGTATATCAACCTGGGAGAAAAAGGTTGAAGTTTATAAGAAGTGGGGCTGTTCTGAGGATGAGATTCTCGTGGCTTTTGGAAAGTATCCATGGTGTATGATGGCGTCCGTGCATAAGATCACGAGAGTGATGGAATTTTTTGTCAATAAAATGGGTTGGGATTCTTCGTTTCTTGCAAGAAGTCCGATACTCAGATGTGTTAATTCAAATTAATATGAATTGATGCAATTATAACAAATTAAGTCGTATTTTACATGGTCATACTCGCTAGTTAAAATCGGATAATTTGAGCCTTCGTTTGGAATGTGAGTTGATTTTTTTGACCTTGAGCTTTTTGGCTATTTTAGTTCGACGCTAAAAAGTCTCGATTATGATAGACTTTTTGACTTTCATAAGAGAAAAAATAAAATAATTATGATTTGAATATCATATTTTATCTTATTAATTTTTTATTTTTATTTTTTTTAGGACTAATTTACCTCAAAAAAATTTAGGGGGATGCACCAATAAATCCCAAATTAATAACTTATACACTGTTTAGTCCTAAAAGTTTTCTTATAGACTGAAAGGTCCCATTACAATGTTTCAAACATCAGATTAATGTTTCGAACATTAGATTTCGAACATTAGATTAATGTTTTGAACATTAGATTTCAAACATCAGATTAATGTTTCAAACATTAGATTGATGTGCAAATGGGACTGAATGGAACATAAGAAAACTTTTAGGACTAAATGGTTCAATTTTTTAGAAACTAGGACTCATGGGTAAATTTTCCAAAAATTTATGCCATACATAGCGTGAAAAAGAGGGTTTAGGGTTCATGAATAACAAAATTTGGGGTGAAAGTTGTTTTCAAATAATAATGCTTGGGACCCCTTTTAGGGGTCACCCCTCACTCCCTTGCCACGTGGCAGGTGGTGATTGGAGGAGCAGGAAAAAAAGAAAAAAAAAAAATATAGCCAATGAGAGAGAGGGGGGGATCAAAGGGGGTGGGAGGAAAATGAGGGACGAATCATTGTTGTTTTTCAAAATTGTGAAGATTTCATCTGCAGAACAGGTAAGTCAGTCCCTCAACTTATTTTGCGTGAAATTTCATAAATGTCTGTTGTTAGAGCTTCTTCATGAACCCACCTCCACAATCACTATTTCCTTCAATTCCACCCATTTTCATCATCATTATCATCATTAATCGAAACCACTTCAAATCAACACTCATTCGCAGTGACTTACCTCATAAACTCATGTGGTTTTCCTGTAGAAAAGGCTCTCTCAGCATCAAAAAATGTCAATTTTGAAACCCCAGACAGACCTAACTCTGTCATCGCATTATTCGAGAACCATGGCTTCAGCAAAACCCAGATCTCAAAACTCGTTATGATGCTCCCTCGGGTCCTCTTAAGTGATCCGAAGAAAACCCTTCTGCCCAAACTCGAGTTTTTCAAATCCAAATGCGATTCAAGCTCAGATGTTGCCAAACTACTATCTTCAGAGCCAACTATTCTCAAAAGAAGCTTGGAAAACCAAATCATCCCATCTTTCAATATTTTAAAAAAATTTATGGGTTCCGAAGAGGAATTGATTTATTGTATTAAACGCTTTGCCAGGGTTCTCGTTTATGACCTTCAAGTTTTTGTAATACCCAATATTGAAATTATGAGAGAAGCAGGTGTGCCAAATGCGAATATTGTGTCGTTTTTCAAGTACCACCCTAAAAGATTCATGACACCTAGTGATAGGTTTACAAAGAATGTGAATGAGGTAAAGAAAATGGGTTTTAGTCCTGTGAGCTGGCAGTTTGTGATAGCTGTTAAAGCGTTTAGCGCAATGAGTATATCGACCTGGGAGAAAAAGGTTGAAGTTTATAAGAAGTGGGGCTGTTCTGAGGATTAGATTCTCGTGGCTTTTGGAAAGTATCTGTGGTGTATGATGGCGTCCGTGCATAAGATCACGAGAGTGATGGAATTTTTTGTCAATAAAATGGGTTGGGATTCTTCGTTTCTTGCAAGAAGTCCGATACTTGTTGGTCTTAGTTTAGAGAAGAGGATTGTTCCAAGGTGTGCAATTTATCATGTTCTGATGTCGAAGGGTTTGATTAACTGCAACAATATTAGCTTGGTGACTATGCTGAGGTATACTGAAAAGCAGTTTTTAAAGAGGATTGTCTACTGTCACGAGGAAGAAACTCTTGAGCTATTGAAATTGTATAAGGAAAAGTTGGCTCTTGCAAAGTAATTAAGTTGTGGGTATAAAAAATCAACATAAATTTCCTCGTTCATTTGCTTCTCCCGGTTTAACTCTGTTTGTTGAATTATATCATTTTGAATACAATGGGGCAATCAATTAAAATTTGTCATCTGTAAACAAGTTCATGTTCTCTGGTTCCACTTCGACGAATAGGTTTGAAGTTCCACACCGCTGCATTGAATTATTTGTCATGTTGTAATGGCTGAAGCTTGAAGCAGTGTACTAATATATGTTCATCTGGGAAATTATGTATAGGTATATAAATATATCTACATATCTACCTGGCTATGTATTTTGTTTATACATAATCATATTGTTGTGTGCTGGGGGACCAATTTCCTTTCTAAGGTTTGAATTTTTTCCACATTATCATGATGGTTGTGAATCTTGCGATTACCCAGTTACACTTCTCATTGTGACAACGGTTAGATTATTGTTTCCCTTTTATTCTTCTTGTGTGCATATTCAGTTTATAATCTTGTTTCAAATTTCCAAGACATACAAGATGTTTTTGGATTTATTTATTTATATTTATTTTTTGGAGGTTTCTCTTTGAGGTTCTATTTATATGCTCTCTTTGCCATTTGGTTTTGTATAATTGGTATATATTTAGTAGTGACACCAAAGTCATGCACACAATGCTCAATGGATAGGCTAGCTTTCTTTGTTTCTTCTTTATCAACATATGTTATGTTGCAGCTCTTTATTTTGGACATAATAAAGAAACTCGATCTGAGCAGGACATTAGTGTGCAATACACTTCATTGATAGACACTACAGATTTTTATTACAGTTTTGTATATAAATAGTCTGAACAGAATTTATTATATCCTTCAGCATCAGTTTTGGAAAATGGCATAATGATAGTAGTGATAGTGAATTGTTACCGGTTTTTTAAATATAATTTCAGGCCTCGTTTGGCAATAGGCTGGTTTAGTCAAAAAGTCAAAAAGTTACGTAAAAAAATCAAAAAGTCAACAATTCATACCAAAAAGTCAAAATTTCTTTTTCTCTCTACTTTTTGCACATCTTTTTGTAAAAAGTCAAAAAATCATCACAAACATATTAGGTTTTTTTAGTTCATATTTTAATCAAATAGCTAAAAAGTTACTAAATTAGTCTGTTCTCAAACGAGAAGTGTAAGTAGTGAGCATTATGATACAAAAAAAATGTAAAAATGCTAAAATATAGTTTAGTGCAACGTACATCTTTTGATGGATTGTAAACTTGTTAATCATCTGTAACTTGCCTCTTACTATAACAAAATTTACATAAAAGGAACTGTAGTTAAATTTAATTGCTTGTACTGGACATTAGAGAGCAATGTCAATGTAGTGTGGTGATTTGATTAAGATGCTTGTACCGAATTCACACTTTTTCCAACATCTCTCATTTGGTTATGGTTATAGTTATGGTTATGGTTATGGAATTAAACAAAAATCATAATTTTGTTCAAATCTAAATGCATAAAACATGTAATTTAATTAAACCCCATTTTCTTTTGCATATGCTCGTTGATATGGAATCTTTAATCAGGAAGTCATCTTTTCAAATGGGTTTTGTACTGTTCTGTACCTGGCAAATCTTGCATTTGCTTATGTTTTGGATTCTACTATATGGAATCTTTAATCAGGAAGTCATCTTTTCAAATGGGTTTTGTACTGTTCTGTACTTGGCAAATCTTGCATTTGCTTATGTTTTGGATTCTACAAATAGCGGGCTATTTTGGAGTTGGCAATGATACATATAAAGCTGCCAATTTTAGTTGCGGTGTCATTGTATTTTGTGCAGCTAGGAAATAAATATTAGGAAAGTCTATGAACTTCATTGCTATGTGCTCATGATATTTATTCATCTCTGTTGTGTATTGCATGTGATTAGGGGCTTTGTCTTCTGTTTGTTAGCAAAGTATGATGTTTCTCCAGCAAAGAAATAAAAGAGTTGTTAGAGGGAGTGTCTTGCTTTGGCTGTTTTTAACCTTTGGGCCATGTTTGTTTGGGCGGACTGAATTAGTATTCCCATGATTAATAGTCCTAGGATTACGAATCCGTTGGATTATGTATCCTATCTTAACTAATAGTCAAGTTTAAAATAATTAGTCCCTATTTCAATTGTTTAACCAAACATTGGATTAATAATTTTATTGGATCCCAAGCTCATGTCCATCCAAACAAACATGGCCTTGGTGTATTTGGAAATGCGATAATGATTTTAATTTGCTATTGATTGTGCATTTTCTTATACAAAGACGATTGAGATACAATGAGATGGTTGGGTTGTGTCCAAGTCTGATACTGCTAATGAAGCTGAACGCAGTCAACCAGCAAAGGGTGGAGATTAATTCCAAATTTGATGTTGTTATTGGTTGGCTCTTGTGGTTAGAGATAGTACATGTAAGATTTTGCTGGCTAGTTATTTATATTTAGTTTTGTAGCATTTATTTTTATTTAATACATAGAATTTTGATTTTAAGGATTGGAAATTGGATGGGTTCCGCCTAGGATATACATATATATTTCCCCTAACCTTGGGCCCATTCGCAATCCGACTTGATCTGACCTAGTACAATCAATGCTCACCCACTATATAGAGATTGGGACAAATTCTTTTGTACTTTAGATTAAGGTTATTTTGAGAATTGATTATTTTAATTAGTTTTTAGACTTTTTATAAAAAGATATGTAAAAAAATAGAGAGAATAGTTGACTCCAAAATTGTTAATTTTGTTAATTTCATATAAAATTACAATTTGCATATATTATTTTAACTAAAATCATTACTTTCAAACTATAATTTCATACGAACCTAAACTATAATTTCATAAAATATTATATTTGTCATATATATATACATATTTTTTTTTTTAATTAACAAAACTCACCAGTTACTTATGCTGTGAATCAAATTGGGTAGACTGTTATTCAAATTTAATTTAAAATTTTAACAAGTTTTAAATATGTTTGATGCAGTCTATTGGAGTCACTATATACATTGGAGCTTTGATGAATTTTGTGTGTGATGAGGTAAAAATAGCTTAAAATTTAAAAATTGATTATGTTTTTATTTTTTTTTTTGTTTTGTTTTTTCCCCCTAAAAAATACCAAAAGAAAAAAAAAATATATATATATATATATATTTATGAAAACTGTTTTGGAGAAAATTCTCTAAAAACAACCAACTTTTACACACAAAAATGAAAAATGAAACAATTTCTTTGGTATTTTTTTTTTAAAAAAAAGGCAAAAATGCAAAAAAAAAAAACCTACCGACTTTCTAATTTTGTTTAGATTTGATTTAGAAAAATGTTTTGAATACTAAGGCGTTGTTTAGGAATACATGTTTTTAGTTAGAAAGTAACTACAAATTATTAAATTATTAGGGTAAAGTATCAATAAATCCAACATTTAGATCTTATACACTGTACGGGAAGCAAATATTCCGGCAAGCCCGTATTCCTTTCTTCCGAGCTCCGTCGATGTCCGATCACCTGCGAGCAAGTAATGGTGAGCTACCCGGCGGTGTGTGGCCGGAAAAACCCTCCGACGCTCAAGTTAGCACACACCTTAGGATGGATAGAGAGAAGGGAGAGAGTGTTTGAGGGTAAGAAATCCTTACAGAGATGTTCGTGTGTCGCGTATGAGGGGCGCAGACATGCTTATATACCCTCTGCACCCCACATCCACTCCCAGTCAGCTCCTGACACGTGGCTCCGCTATCCCATCTGTCAGCATAAACCATGCCAATCATCACCTAATCCCAACTGCCTGTCATCACAGCTGGAGCTCGGCAGCCGAGCTGCCCTATGCGTTGTTGCGCCGTGCCGTGCTTCATACCCAAGCACTTCCCTGGCAAAGTCCAAGGGGGGACCGGACTCGGCGGCATCTCAGCAACGCCTAGCCCGAAGCACCCCGTGGCCAACTTTCATGCCGGTCAAACGGTAACCTCGGCCGACCGCGCCTTTCCGGGCGCCGGTCACTCGGCTTGTCTGGCTTCGGCTAACCTCGGACCGAGCATCCTGGTCCGACCGAGCACTGCCTTACCAAGCTGCTTCTTTACGGTCTGGGGCGGGACACACTCGGCCTAAGTTCTGCCCGGCCCAAGTTCTGGCAGCCCTTCTCTGGGCGAACAGTCGATCATCTCGGCCCAATGCACTGCTGGGCTCTCAACCTGCTCGGTCGCTACCTCGGCCCAACTCCAGATCATAAATCACCCTCTCAATTGCCCCTTAATCCCGTCCGCGAAAGCATGACTGGGATTACTCACTTCGACCGAGATAACATTTCTCCGGTCTTCAAGACGCCGAACCTCGACCGGGCTAGCTAACATAATTGTCTGCAACCTTGCCCGGTTATATTCCTCGGCTGACATCCTCTTCGTCGAAAGTAGCTCGGTTGGCTCTTCGTATTTGCAACCCATCGCTTCAGTCCTGTCGTAGCCATAAATAGGGACACGTGGCGGGCTGCCATTGGTCATCGGGCAGCCAACCCGCCGTTTTTGCCAGAATTTGAATTTGGGCGGTCTCCTTCGCCTATACATACATGCCCTTCTCAAACTCCAAATCTTCCTACTGCCACTTCGATATTCGACCTCAGAGCTCTTGCATCTTCATCCAGACTTGCTGCCATTTTTCGTGCTTGAAGGATTAG